AAATCATTATTTCTGACCTGATACTACTGTGATTAAATAAATCTATCTAACCATGAAAATGACCTAGCAACACTAACTGGAGTAATTAATAATAATGCGGAATAATTATTTTTTCAAACAAATAACATATGAATTTCAAAATAATAAGATACATTTTAGATATCAATTTTCTAGTAGCAAAATTTTGAACTAAAGTACGAATTTATAAGCGTTCTCAGTCATCACTGGTCGAGCATCGAGAGACAGTCAAGCAGCCGCAGTGGCGTTGACTACATTGTAACTTGACCTGTTGATGTTTGGTTGTAGAAATGATCCTGAGGAGTCAAGGTTGACCTACATTTGAGGAGCTCGCGAGCAAAACCGAATGCATCCACATTTGTAAGCTGTACAGGTGATACATGTAACCACTTTGCTTCTAGTATTGAACTTTATCATTGGCTAGCGTATTATACCTGGAGATAGCCACATATACAGGGTGTTTCAAATTGGAACCTCACCATTGTGACCTCGGAAACTGTAAGAGATACGAAGGGGTAAGTTGCGAAATTCAAAGTACTTCCGGGGAGAGAAGGAAAAAAAAGAATTTTTCCAAAATCGTTTTAATTCCTTCCTGACTTTATTTGTAGTGGGATTTCAAAATAAAATGCACACTGACATAGCTACTTTTTCTCCTCTAGAAGATGGCATAATTAGAATTTCAATATGACGCTTCGTCCCTTGTCCTCCAACATTAACTTAATTTTTTCTTATGGACGCCATATGGAATTTTTGCACAAATGAATAGTTTTTAATTCTTATTCCAAAACGTCATATATTGACATTGCCAAACCTTATTTATTCCAGAAAACAGAAGTTCTTAGGTAGGCTTGAAACTATCAGATTTCATTTGTTTAGTATACCAAACCAGACCTCGAATTGAACATTGGAATAGAGTTTGGACGCATGAGAAGAAGAGAAATATGTCAAGCAGTGAACAATGTACAAAACAACGGACTGCATTTTGAACATCTGCTATGATTTACCTCTGGTTATTTATGATTACCGTCAATAAAATTTTCATTTTGTGTTTACAATTTTCATCCATTTAAATGTACAAAATTCCAATATACTACCAAGTACCATAATGAAAAAACAAAGTTGGCGATGAAATTAGAATTACAATAGAGGAAAATATTAACTATGACAAAATTCAATTTATTTTGAAATCTTGTCTCAAATAAAGTCAGGAAAAAATAAAAGTTACTTTAGGATACATCTGGTATGCAAAACTGACTGATAATTTCAAGGTCTATTTAGGAAATTCTGCTTTTTTTAAATAACTAGAGGGGAAAAAGTGCTTATGTTAATGTGCAATGTATGGGTTTTTCTCAACAAATTTAGAAATTTCATTTTGCATTTCTTAAAAAAAATTAATGAAAATATGTCCTTTTTTTGCAGAAATATAAAGTTTTACTTTAGTGAGGTTCACTGAAAATGAAGGTCCTCCATATTTTTGTGTATAACATGTAGAAAAACTTTTGAAAAACTATGAAATGAGGGAATAACTGAAAGGATGGAGGAATGATTTTTACAACAATTTGATGCTGAATTTCAATGAAAAACATAAGTTAATTTATTAATAGATGTATTGAGATTTGTTTTATACTTTAGAGAGCTTAGATAGTCCTTCTTCTTTGGGCACATCCTCGTATTTTTATCCTTCTTTAAGAAATTAACATCACCCTTAACTTTCAGCATTTTGGTGCTATCTTTGGTACAATTCTTTTTGTACGTATCGTTTTTGACAAAATGTTCGATCTATATAGCAATTTGTATTTTTGCACTAATTGCAGCTTCAACACTTTGAAATAATTTTCTTTTCTTCATGTTTACTTCCAAGATCTTCATACTTATTCTTGAGGTCCGTTGACAGACCTTCTCCGAAAATCAGTCTTTTTCTTACAACGTCTTTAAAAGCCAAAACACTTTAGTTGCTGGAGAGTTTGGGTCAGTATTTTCAGTTTTCAATCTCAAACACATCTTATATTTTTCGCTAAGCTTTACTGCGTTCCTTAGTTTATTATCCAAACTTTTAATCTTCGCGTACAAAATAGTTCGCCGCTTGCGCATTCTACGTCTATTGAGAGCAGACAAATTCTCTGCTCAGTGCTGTAAATATGGTGCAGGACTTGGTGGGGGTGTTTCTTCAACTCTGTAAATTTGTTTGTAATGTAATTCGCTTTTCCTTATAAACTTTACTATTCTTTTTCCATTGTTTTCGTTTTTGGGTTTTTGGCTAGCTTCTCTTGCACTTATAGAACTTGACCTTTACTCTTCTTCTTTAAAAACTTCAATCTTCCTTTTCATGCAAAGATTCTAAAGACTCAGCATTACTTTTCATTTGTTCTCGCCTCTTTCTGTCGTAGTCGTTGTTTAATTTCCTTTCTTCTTCACTTAACTTCTTAATTTTCCCTATTCTTGATATACGGTTATCTGTTGTTAAAATTGAAAACACATGCTATACAACCTGGAGTTAGGCAATAACACCCAAACCACAATTTTATATATGCAAAAATCATTCCCTCACTTTCTAATATAGTGAGGGAATGACGGATTTGCATAAACGACACCGTAACCAACAGTACATCACCTCATATTGATTTAGCATTTTGTGAATGCATTGTACTCCCCAAAACAAGAAAAAATCTTCAAAACATTCGAACAGTATGATGACTTAGCTTTTAATATAAACAGTGAGGTAATGACACAGAGAAATGTAATGTTCTAATTATTGAAATCCAATGCTTTTTTGCCACAACTCTTTTCACTATTACGAAACTCCGCCATGTAGACATAACAGCTGCGATCAAAATATCAAATGATGTGACCATAAATCGAATATTTATAATGGGTGAGGGAATGATTTCACTTCAAGGGACATAATGTTTAAATAGATTTTTTTATATACATAGTTATTTTTTAGCAATGAAAGCTTGACTATACAATCCATACTTATTACAAAATATTTTAGTAATATTCAATTTATAAGAATATGAACAGATTTGATTGTATATATTTTTTTATTATTAATTTCGGACCTAGGGACAAGATAAGAGAATGACTTTTACACTAAAAAATTAATCGTATTTTTTTGTGTTAATACATTATCTAAATTTTAGCTTCTAAAATATTAGTTTAGATACTTAATGATATAATAAAAATGTTAAATAGATGATAAATCCATGAAATGGCTCAGGACATGAATTTCGGAATTTGCTGAGAAATACCCGTATTTTGAAATTCCACTACAACTAAAGTCAGGAAAAAATTAAAGTTACAGTTACCGAGATCCCAATGGTGAGGATCGAATTTCAAAAACCCTGTATATGAGCATATAATTGTAACAGTGTCACATATGAGACGCTAATCTTTTCAAACTAGATTTCTAGTTATTGTGGAGAGGAAGAACATAGCTATGACAAATTCTCAAAGATATATCCGGTTTTGGTTGAAAATAAATATATGAGGCTATGGTTAGAATAACTTAGATCCAAAAACCGCCAAAATATGAATTTGTAATATAAAAAGTGAATATATCCGGTTCTGCATGCAAGCTCCTCCCATAGAATGAGTGATCATTATTATAGGGTGGCCAATATATGTGACTGATTTAAATGACGCGCCTTTTTTTATACACGTATTTCAGTAGTTGGCGCCGTAGTAGTTGTTTAAAGCACATGTGTCCAATTCATCATAGAGCGCTACACGATCCCACAACGCGTCCGTATTGTTAAAACGTTTTGATTAAATAATGAATCGATTGTTGCAACGATTCGGAAGCTGCGACAAGGTTTCGGTCGAAATAATGTGCCCAGTGTCAACACCATTCGTCAGTTGCTGCGGAAATTTGAATTTGAAAGGTCGGGCCGCGTTCGAACTGCTCGTACTCCCGAAAATATCGACAGAGTTCGTAAAAGTGTAGTGGAGCGCCCTGAGACGTCTAACAGACATCGTTCTCAAGAGCTGGGTTTTCGTTACACGTGATTATGCACTATTTTAATGAAAGACGCATTTGCTACCATACAAAATTCAGTTAACCTAGAAACTACAGCCCAGTGACCATGAAAGTCGCCGACAATACAGTCATGCAATATTGCAGCTTAATACCCAAAATAACGATTTTTGCCGACAACTGATAATGAACGATGAAGCCCACTTCGATATGAACGGATTTATTATAATAAGCATAATTGTCGTATCTGGGCATTATAGAACTCTCGTGTCATCCATCAACGACCGTTACATCCTCGTCAAGTCACAGTTTGGTGCGGTATGGAGGTGTCACTGAACCTTACATCTTTGAAGAGGCTGCCGGTAACTGTCTTACTGTCACTGACGAGCGCTACCGTGAAAACTTTCTGGCTCCTCAAATCCAACAATTTAATCTGCAAAACACGTGGTTCCAGCAGGACGGAGCAACTTGTCACACAGCTAGGGAAACAATGATTTTTTTGCGAACAATATTTCCGAGATGTTTAATTTCTCGATTTGGTGATGTCAACTGGCGTCCAAGGTCACCAGATTTAACGGTTCCTGACTTTTTATAGAGATTTTTGAAGATATTCCTCTCGAAACCTATCAAAAAGTGATGGAAAATGTAATCAAGAGGGCTCCGGTTTGCACGGCTTCTAGAGGCGGACATTTGTCTGATATTATTTTTCATACATAATTTCTAAGTTTCAATAAAATATTGAGATGAAAAAAATGGACGTATTTTATTTCATTTCACAAATATTTAAGACATAAGCCAATCGGTTACATATCGGCCACCCTGTATAAGGGAAAACAAGATCACTCGTAACACAACTGACAGAACTGAGGTCCTAGTTACCGAAATCATCACCGATTTCCGGTGGCACAGCGGCGAAATACTGATGACTTAAGAATGTTTTTATAAATTCGAAGTGTAGCATTGTTAAACTGTTTTTCTTCCAAATTTCAAACAGCTCGATTTTGCTTACAGTTAGCATGATATTTTGCATTTTGCTTTTCTTTTTCCTCCTAGGAGGGGCCACGGGCGCCTCTATGTTCGGTTGCTGGCTGCTACTGGATGCCTTTGTGCTAGCTATTACGTCAGGCTCTTGCAGTGGAAGACAAGGTTTGGGGTGCTGGTGCTGAGACATACTGCTTGCAGTTGTGCCTTGAGCATGTGGATCTGTTTGTGCGGCACCTAGCATTATACATTCAGCTTAACTAATTTTATACTTCAACAATAATGTATGCTATGTAAATTGAAAAAAAAAACACATTAGCCAATATTAACAAATCTTATCAGTTAGCAACAGCCCCTCTTCAAAAACTCGTGAATATACAGGGTGAGTTTTTAGTGTGTAATCGGTAAATGATAACTAAAAATGGCTTCAAGATGGTTGACTGCACTTCTCGCGCAGGGCCGTCGTCAATTCAGATATGATTATGTTTGGCACAAGTTTGACCCTCTGAGAAAAAAGTGATGTTTACGAACACAATGCCAGGTTCAGGAGTAATCTAATACCATTGCATATAATTTTTTAATCATCGGCCGAAAAGCATCAGAGACATGCCTGTCAACAAATTTAAAGAAAATGTAAAAAGCATCGTAGTGTCTGGTGCTTTCAATAGTAAAGATGAATTTCTCCGGCACACATTTTAAAACTTCTTTTTCTTGATTAATGTCTGTCTCTACTAGTTTTTTTTAATTTTATTTTGATTTTAAGTCAGATTTGACTTTTGTGACTTTGGCCTGTGCACGTACATACAGGGTGTCCCAGAAATAACACACTGGTTGGTCGGTAGCATTATGACACCACAAGGAACTTTTAGCTTACAGCGCTAGTTCTCAATGAAATGAATACTATTTATGGTAACCCAGGAAAAAATCATGAGCTAGAAGTTTTTTATAGCCATAAAAGTGGCAATATCTCGAAAACTAAAAAACTTTCACTAAGGTCATGTTGATTTTATCTGAAGCCCATCTACCTCCCGTCTTACCCTGGCGTGTTATTTCTGGGACACTTTATGTATATTGGTATCAAGAAATTTGAGTTTTTACTATGTAATCGGTATATATCTCCATTATTATAAAAGATAACTGAAAAATGACGTCAAGGTGGTTGACTCTGCACTTCTCACGCAGCGCTGTCATCAACTAAGAATGATTGGCTCAAGTTAGACCCTCCCAGAAACAAGTTACGACCATGAATAACAGAGAAATTAAACGGATCAAGTCAGTCAAACAGGTCCACACAACTAGTCCGTAGACATTATTTCCCTGTACTACTAGTCCATCTGGTAACGTCGCCTCTCTCCGAAACCTGTCCGCAAAACGCGTCAGACGCGGCAGTAAGGCCGGAACATTTAACACGCATGTCGATGATCCCAGTCAGAAGGAGCAGGGATTGTTTTAAGGGCAAATGTATCGGGAAATCTATGATGTATGAAATATGTCTAATAAGCGCGTAGAATTACCAAGGTTGGGAGCAGATACATATACTAGCATTAAAAAATTGAGATATACCCTCCTCCAACCTCCAATCTTTTACCCCTAATATTCTCTTCAAAAATGGTTAGCAACTCTGAATCATCAAAAAAAAACGACGTCTGAACATTTTTTTTCGGTTTTGGTCTTTTTCTTTGCCGACCTATTTTCAAAAACTACAACCTTTTTTCGTCCTTGGCATAATAGTAACTTTGTGTGAAAATTTCATCAAAGCCCGACCGGTACTTTCCAAGTTACAGACTGGCCAAGGATTAGTGGACAGACAGATCAACAGACTGACGGAGACGAGTGATATGCTTTTTCATGATGTACATGTCACAACATCCAAAAAAATTAGAAAATTTTACATTTTCAATACTTCTTCGCTCAGTGGCGTAGGAAATAAAAAGTTATTTACAAAAAATATCTTACTTGGAAAATACGATGCTCTCTACAAGGAAACTCTTAAACTATGTGGCAACATAAAAACGCATTTTTTAACATGAATACCCTGTATATTTTAGCATAGCTCATGTTTAGTATTGCCTGAAATCAGCAATTGCCAATATTCCGCAGCGAAAACACTTGTTTTACGCGCATATTGCGTCTGTTGGGCAAGATTTGTGTGCATCCTTAAATACAGTATTTTAAATGGTAGCAGAGAGCAGTGGTTAAACGTTATGACAATACCAAAACAGAAAAACAATGAAGTTCACATTTTTAACTAATATTGAAGTTTAAAAAAAGATTGTATACACTTCCAATACATGATAATGAAATTTAATTCCGATAGTTGCAATACAAATGAGAAAATGTCTTATTTTACTATTATGTGTGTCCTACTATGCTGACATAAGCATCCTCGTCCAAATGTAACTATTCATAATTATTGTGTATTGTGTATGAAAGAGTAATGATGGAATAATGTCCCTGAACTTTGTCTATATACATACCTACATGATTATTATGGCAAATAATTTGTGTATAATTTTTTTACTATCATATTAACTGTACAGAATTAAAACAAGTGAATTGTTTTTGTAAATTAAATAAATACTTACTGATTGATAATGTTGCTGTACTTGGATATTGTGAATATTTAGAACTTTGTGTTGACTCTGAATCCAAAGAGCTGGAAGATAATGCTGATACAGACATTGTTTTTCTAACATTTTCTGGAAGATTATCTGAAAGAAATAAAACAAATTTATGGTACTCAAACCGAAAAATGTATAAAAGATAAAATACAAAATCTTCATTGAATTACAGTGTGATTAAAAATCTAGTGACAATATTTTTAGGGCAGAAAGTAGATTCAAAAATAAAATACAGGATGCCCAGTGGGGAAATTCACTTTTTGATTTAAGAAAGAAATACAATCTTAATGAAAAGAAAATATTTATTACTATCAACATATTCGTAAATTCGGTGGGTTTCATTTCTCAAATATCATTCCATCCAAATGTATGCCATCCCCTCGGACACACTGTTCTAATCGCGCGCGTAAATTCTGAAACACTCTGTTGCAAAGTTCCGGAGTGATGTTGTTTATTTCTCGTCGAACTTTGCATTTAAGTACCTCCAGTGTTCGAGGATTAATGGAATACACTTTTGACTTTAGATAACCCCAAAAAAAAAAATAAGCGCAAGGCGTGATATAATTTTTTGAGGAAAAGATGCTTTCACGGTGTCCATCGATTCTCTGGAAGTATGGGCAGTGGCACCATCCTGTTGAAACTATGTGTTTCTGTTAAATCGACGTTCTGTTCTTACAACAGGAGCAAAAAAGTGTCAATCATGTCCTTGTATCGCTCGGAATTGACTGCCAATGCATGACCGTTTCCATCTTCAAAGAAACACGGCCCAATAATACCGCTAAAGGATATGGCGCACCACACAGTCACCTTTAAACTATGTAGCTGTTGTTGATGTCTCTATTTTGGGTTCGTTGGTGATCAATATCTGCAATTTTGCTTGTTCACATAACCGTCTAAGTGAAAATGGGCCTCGTCACTGAAAACGACGTTCTCGAGTCTGCGCTGCGTAGGTAAAAGATTCAACAAGCGGTCAGCACAAGATTTCCGTAATACGTAATCACTTCCCTAAGCATGGACTGATAGGATTTTATAAAGATGAAAACCCGTTATTTCCTTCATTATCCTATGCAGTGTTAAACTAGGGATTTCCAAAGCAGCGGAATGCTTCCGTACAGAACGCCGAGGATTTGCAATGACAGAATCACTTAGTTGAAGTAAGCCTTGATAGCAAAAGCACGTTGCGCTCCGGCCCAACGTTCCATTGTGACTATTTAACCCGCACCACAGATTTTACAGATGCGACACCTGCTGTCGGTCCCTTTGATCTTCGTGTCCCTAAATGCTTACCACATTTCCCGCTTATGTTCATTAGAGTCCGGAGGATTTTTTCCTAGGGGTTGTTACGCATTATTAGCAAGACGTCACGAATGTTATATATGTAAAACAACGTAATCAAGAAATTTATTTGTGTTCAATTACCGGCATGCATTTTGGTGAGATAATTATTATTATTTCTTAATAAGCTATTTATATATTTATATATAGTATTGATAAAACTCAATGTTTTTGATAACTCCTAAATCCTAAATCTCTCAGCAACACGAATCCCACCAAATGCATAGTACTCAAGTTGGCGTTGATAGAACCTGATTTTTTACAGAGTGTCGCCTCTGTATAATACCTGTGCCCGCACTGCGAACGCGTCGATCAAGGCGCTACCTTACCAGAATTTTTAAGTCTTAATTAAAAACATAAAATAAATCATATCTTTGAACTGGATTGAGTTGAAATGTTGCACATGTAGTACTAACAGCATAACCCATACATAAAAAAATTGTTGACTATACCAGTGGCATGAAACCCGCGAGATTTTGATACCTATAGAAGAACAAAAGGAAACTATTTCCTTCACCTATCTTGAGCAATTTTGGGAAAAAAAAACTTCTTTGAATCATGTAACTCGTGAAACTTATCCTGTGCTTTTCATGTTCATAGGAGACCATTGTCTGGCCAATTCAAACTACATATTTGGTTTGGATAGTTGAGGTGAAATCCGTATAAAAAAACTTCATTCTCTTCTACCATTCATTAAAGAGTTCTACCTGAGACAGTGTCAGAAAACAAAAATGCATTCAAAAATCTAGTCTGAAAAGAGCTATAGTGTTAGGTTCTCCTACTGACTCACGGATGACGCTACCATCTTGAGGCCCGTGTTGGCACCTCTCTGATACTCTTTTTAATTGGGTATCTTCAGGTAGAATATATTGATCAATGCCTGAAGATAACACAATTAAAGTTGATTTGTAAGCTCTGACGTTCCGCACCAGTGCCATAACGCAAAACTTGAATCATGCGACGTTTAACTGTTTATTAATAGGAATTCCGCAACACTGACGCTAGACTTGACGAAGATTAAGTCGGCGGTTCGGCAACGTCAGGGTTTATAAATCGACCTTCACAATTACCACAAGAAAGGCGCCAAAATAGATTGAAGATCCTTATGCCACATATGACACAGTAGCAGAGCCAAACATTCTAACTTTTTCAAAGTAGGTTTCTGAATTCATTTTAGTGTTCTGCTATTATACAGGGTGGGTCATAAGAGTGTTGGCGATTTAAATCTTAAATTTCTCAGAAACGCGAGGTCAGGTGGGGGGAGCGATATAAGCTGTCAGCTGCGCCATTGCCTGGAAATTTAGTCGCCATCGAGCTGTACACTTAACTTTGTCAGTTTGATGCTCGACCGATTCAACAGTTTAAAGAACGTGAAGTTTAGTTATGTTAACAAACAACATTGTCGGTTCTGATCCGAAACTAATCCCCGACGCATGCATGAACGTCCACTTCACAGCCGTAAACTAGTCGCGAGGGCTGGAATTACGTCAACCGGTATTATTGGACCGTACTTTCTTGAAGACGAAAGAGGGCAAGCGATGACAGTTAAAGCTAACAATTATTGCAATATGATAACAGACTTTTTGGTGCCAGCTTTGCAGGAACTCCAAGGCAATACCTCTAGAATGTGGTTTCAGCTAGATGGGGCCACATTTCATACAGTATCTATAGAGCGGGTGAAATGTCTTTCCCTGAAAACTCATTTCGAGAGGGGGGATATTGAATGGCCACCACGTAGCCCCAATCTTTCTCCATGCAATTATTTACTATGGGGCCACATCAAATCGGTGGTCTACGAGAATAATCCAACTAATTTAGAGCAGCTGAAGAGGAATATTGTTCAGAAAAGTAACAAAATACTGAGAACAACTTTTCAATGAGTTTTCCAAAATCTGCAGCTTTAGTTTCAAGAGTGCCAAGCAGCCGAAGGAAGTCATTTGAACAATATTATTTTCAATCTTCAAAGATTTGTATCATTCTACTTTTTAAAAATTTATTATTTATTTTTCTTTTATATTGCATAGTAATTTTTTGATTGATTATTGAAAATGCCCACACCTTTATGGCCCACCCTGTATATGGCTTTAGCATATTTCATCATTTATCACTATATATACACTACAAGCTTAGTCATACCCAGAAACTTATAGAGGTTGTGCCATTTGGCAAAAAAAAAGTTCTATTTATTAACATTCATTTAGTATAAACTAAAAATAAAACATGTATTAAAATTTTAATTATCTTTTTCCTCAAATCTAGCACAATATATCAAAGGAGTTTGGAGATATGCATTCCTTACCTTTTTTTGAAAACAGTAACAGATCACAAGTTGTATAAACACTTTTACACAGTTGAGAGAATATCCCAAAGAATGAAACACCTCATAAAATGTCTTGAACACCACCATAAATAAGAAAAGATAAAGGAAAAACTCACTGCCCAATTTTCTTCCAGCTCTTCCTACTGAACTCAAACTCTGCAAGCTGATGGTATCTTGTTCTATAATCCTAAATGGATGTGATGTCTTTGGAGCAGCAAAGACTCCTTCCACAGAAGAAGTTTGGCTGTTAGGAGGTGTCATATTCCCTGTCTGATAATCCTCCTCATCATTCTGCAACTTCCTCCGCAGCTCTTTGAATTTTTTCCTACTCCCCACTTGCACTTCTTTAAAGGTTGGTTCAGAATCATTTTGAGGCTCAACTTTTGAGAGTTGGTCGGCAGCTTCATTGGAAATGCCTGGTATGTTTGGTTCGGAATTGGAGCGTTTGGTAAGGCTGTCCTTGGAAGGCTTGCGGGGTTTCCTTCAAGAAAATAAAAAATCAAAGAAGCTTTGGCCAATCTTGACAGCTAGCAATTATTTGTTTGCTGTCAAGTAAATAAAATTTTGTGAAGTGTGTCGAGGCGTTTCTTTCACATCAAGGTATTTTTCTTTATATATGAAGATTTTATTGGAGGTAAGAGCTTTTTTAGGATCTTTAATTGCATTTTTTCGTACCTTGTACTTTGATTAGATGTATTGTCTTCGCAATCGTAAAATTCCTCCGAGTCACTGTCACTAGACATGTTCGCTGTCCAGAGTTACCATTACAAATGCTAATTTTCTTACGTGTGCGCTGCAACATTTATTTATATCCTTCAAATTACTAAAAATTTTCTTTTATTTGCTATTAATTGAAAATTTACTTTATTGACGTTTGTGGCGCCATATTTGTCAAATCTGTCAAAGGTCGAAAACCCCAAACGTCAAATCGCAAACTACCAATCGCATGGCTTCTTTCATGCAGCGTTGCCAGCATCTACCTGCCGGTTTTCTCAATAGTCTAGATCAATAGTCTGGTACTGAAATAGAAGAGAGTATAAAAATATATAAAGAAAAAATTCATCCAATTACAAATACACCCAATTTGTACATTCCTATACAATTTCTATTGCCGCAGCCATGTTGCCAAATAGAATTGCAGTAGTTCCCTTTGGCGAATGTTACACCCAATCAGTATTTACTGTAGTTCGCACAATCAGTATTTAATACTGATCATTCCGTTATTATTTATACATAACCTTATACATCAATTATTATCACTGATGTCCCGGCTACACGGTCACTCTATGATATATATTGAGGGATGACGGTAAATACTGATAGTGTGATACTCACCTTATAGGAGCTATAAAAACAGACTTCTTATTTCTTTTGAAGAAAATTGTTTATTGTGTATTATGTGTTATACATGGCATTAACATTTCAAAGAAAGATCACTTTTTCTTGTAATTATTCTCCCATAATTTCGTTTTCGGAAAAGGAAACTGCGTCAAAAGTTTGAGAGATCATAATTGCTAATAGCTAAGGTGAGTGGTCGTCACGGTGTTTCCTGATTGGATGTCAATATTTAAGGGGGTGATTTTTGAGTCGGTTTTAAGAATACGTATGTTTCAACGTTTGAGATATAGGGTAGTTTTCAAAAATAGATAATTTATTATTGATATCTGTAAAGTCATTTTTGAAGTACTATATTTTTGATAGTTCGCCAGTGGCGTACGTACCGAATTTCACCTGCCTATTTTGGCAGACATTGATCTTACGCGACTGCCCATAAATGATTACAGATTTAATTTTTATTATTATACTATGAAAAATGAAGACGTTTAGACCATACGTCCTCATGGAGCGTTCTTTTTAAGATTGCGCCAAAAATCGCCCGCTTAAATATTGACATTCAATTAGTGTAGTTGTAAGCATAAGCGGCTGGCGGCGCCACGGTACATAGCTTTATTAGCTTTTGTTTTGACGCAGGCACGCCGCCATTGGACTGTCTTCAAGACCTACAGTTTTTTCGTCCTTGTACCAAAACACGTGTAGGATTACCAAACATAAAAACAACAGACAGACCGACGGATATCCGTCATATCGTCCTTGTCCACGTATCATGCGACATCTAGGAAACATTGAATATTTTGTATTTTGCGTTGCTCCATACAAAACTGCCTGTCTCGCATGGACAGTTTAGTGGCTTGGCCGCTAGGAGTGCGGCTGCTAATTTTCGGATTACTATTCTGCCTTGAACTAAACATATACAGTTCCTAGAAATCACTTACAAGCAGGCAACGTCGCACAGTGGCCAAGACGGTCGGTCTAGTAAGAAGTAGGGATTTTTAGTTTTTTCTATTTTCAGAGCGGTAATCACGCTCGTTCACCGCTCAAGGCTGTTTCCTCACCCAAGAACCAAGTCAACATGGAGGACTTAGCTGTAGAAGTATGCGGCGAAAACGGGGTCCTTTATAAGGTCTGTAATACCCAAAGTATAATTCTAACCATCGCTCAGATTAACTCCACGTGATACCTAACTGCCGGTTGCGGTTTTAGCTGTTATAAGTTCACCCAAAGTGCCATACTTACCGGTTTTTTTCGCAAATGTGATTCACCAAACGCGGTAGTTTTGACGCCATGTCCTTTCGACGGGGCGTGATTTTTGCCGTGTATCTGGCCGTTTTGTGTACGAATCGATGTTCGGTGTGGCCCGTCAGGCCCCCCGTTACGGCCCTTCCTATATTTTCGGCAAAATTCCTGCTTATCGTTCTCAGGAAAGGTTAGGTCTGCGAGGTATCATGTTACCAGTTGGTCGGTGGTGTTCTATCGGACAATATTTTTCTGGAAAGATACTTTTTTCTGTTGCAGGGCTACGTAATAGACGTTTTCGAGGATGAAGTACTCGTGCATTTTGAGGATGAGTAAGTATTTTCGTACTTTTACCATTTGACGTATGGCTACGTGAAAGCAGATTTCATATTCTTTTCTTTTGAAATGTACTTGTTATTATATTTAAAATTTCCGATATTACGTGGGAGTAACAAAAAAAACTGCAATTATATTTTGATGTGACTGTGACATATTTTCAATTGTGTTCTACTTATTTTTATTCAAGGATTTCAAACTGCAGATGTTCTTTCATACGTATTTCAGTTATATTTTATCAAACATCAAACCCTCATTTCAATGAAATTTATATATTGTTTTGCCAGAGTAAATATAAATATTTGGAGAGTCATTGAACAGACAGACCTTTCGCATTCGCTAAAGTTTGTTATAATTTTTTATTCTACTTAAACTGAAATTCTTACTATTGTTACTCTTTGGATTTTTTGAAGATTTAATATAAATTATTCTATTAGTATTATTTATCATTAGAACATTTCCATTAATAATAGTTTTATTTTATCTCAAATAGGTAAGTTTTTCATTCTGAATATAGAAAGAAGGTTGTCAATTTAGGTCTCTCATCTAATCAATAATATAGAAGTATGGCTACAATTCTAGATTGTATAAATAGATATTTATACCCATATGAGTAAGTTGGTATATAACTGTATGAGTTTAGGAAGTTCCTTTTAGTATGTATATTGTCAAAATTGATGTAACTGATATGTTGACAGAAAAAGTTCTTAACACTGCAGACTGCAGTACAGTATGCCTCTGCACAATTTTAGGATTAAATTATTTTGAACAGGTTCTGAAAAATTTTGCTTTAAATCCTGAATTTTTTATGAAGAATTGATAATTTCCTTAAAAATTGTTAATTAGTATTGGTATTTCCCACATATTTATATTATATTTCTCATATGTGCAATTTGAAAATCATCACTACACAAATGCATTAGTAATATCATAATTATATGATATGTGCAGTCTAACAAAAAATATTTTGTTACAAAATTTTTAAGTCTCCTAAAACATTAGATATTGAAAATAACTTCAACAAACAGATTCTTTATCCTGGTGTTTATGCTAGATAATTGAAATCGTGATCTCTATTTATACATCTTGAAATGTGTATGATTTGTTGAACCAGTCCTCAATAAATAATGGACACATTAAGTACATGTGAATAATGTGTTAATAAAAGAACCTTACCTAAAACTAAAGGACGAACTGTTCGAGTAGAAGGTATAGGGTGTTTGGTAAATGACCAACAAAATTGTTTGGGCAATTGAGGATGCTATTTGATGATTTTTGATGGAAACCACAGTGCTCTAAGGGCTATGGGCTATTGCCATAAATATAACTTTTTTTGTCTCTAGTGATAATGACATAAAATAAACGTCGGTATGTTCTGTAATGTATACTCAATCAGATCAGATAAACAGTTTGGTGCAAATCTCATCATACAAATGAGTTGACCTTCCAAAGTCGTACAATTATGTGGAGCGTATAAATTAATAATTTCAACTTCGAAATTTTATGATAAAAAAACTATACCTTTTTTGAAACCTAGTTTTACTTTCAAAACTTCTGTGATTTATTGCCTTTCCAATGAATATATACATCATAGAAATAATAAAAAGAGAAAATGGTTGGGCTATTGATCTTTTCATATGATTTTTCCAGTTTGTATTCAATTTGAATCAGTTACAAACTCTTCAAAATGCCTACCTCCACTTGATGAGCTCAATAATGTTAGATAGTGGAGAGCAGTAAAAAGATCAGGTTAGGAATACCTCGTATGCAAGGTGATTCGAATCCAATGACATCTGGTACCTGGATTAACTACATCTCCTGTCTTCCATTATAGGCATTAAGGATTAATGTCAAAGGTTTAGTTTTTCTTTGTTCATGTACCAAACACCCTGTATATTCTAAAAAAATGAGGATGTTAAAAACTATAAACCTACTACATAAAATGACAATGTATTTGTACTTTAAAGACATCAAGGGCCATAATTTTTAAATTGGTGAAAAAAGTCTTATGCATAAATTATCATTGTTGTCAAAACATGTGACTGCAGCAATGTCAACAAAATTTGTATAAAACACTATATTATTTTTCCTAAAATACGAGGGATGTCTTTTAAGTTTTGCATATAGAAACATAGTAGGCCGCGCGAATCGAACGTCAGTAGTGAATTTTAACCTCAACTCCTTAGTAAACTTGAATTCAAAGTTTCACAACAATATGTGCAGTGTTCTCACTACAGTCAATTTTTAAGTATCACCAAGTCATTAGAAAAATGGAACTCAACCGAGAACATTTTCGCGCCATAATTTATTACAACTTTCAGAGACAATTATAGCAACAAGAATGCCTTGCTGAGTTACTGTCTGTTTTCGGCAACGAAGCGCCATATCAGTCGACAATTTCCCGTTGGTATGGAGAATTCAAACGTGGACGGGTGAGTCTTAGCGACGATCCCAGGGTGCGTGCACCAAAAACGGCAGTCACCCAGGAAAACGTCGATGCTGTGCGCAAACTCATCATTGAAGATAGACATGTGGCATATCGCGAGATTGAGGCGTCCTTGAAGATCTCAAGGACCTCAATTCAAAACATTTTACATCAAGAATTAGGAATACCCCACATGTTGACTGAAGAGCAGAAAGCAGCCAGGGTTAATTGGTGTCAAAAAACGCCTGACCGTTTCAATTCTGGAAACTCAAAAAAAGTGTACAGGATTGTTAGTGGTGATGAATCGTGGATTTACTGTTATGAACCAGAAAATAAACGACAGTCGGCTGTTTGGGTGTTCCAAGGTGAAGAAAAGCCAACAAAGTCAACCGTTCTCGAAGTGTTTCGAAAAAGATGGTCGCGACATTTGTCTCAAAAGCGGGTCATATTGCAACAATTCCTCTTAATGAGCTAAGAACTGTTACTCTGCGGATAGGTATACCACCATTTGTTTGCCAAAAGTCATCACCGAGCTTCGAAAAATCAACCCCCCGAAAGAAGAATCATCCTCCACCAAGACAATGCAAGCTCGCACACAGCCCAAAGAACAAGGCAGTATTTTTAGTACAATTTTTTGAATTGAGGTCATTGAGATCTTCAAGGACGCCTCAATCTCGCGATATGTCACATGTCTATCTTCAATGATGAGTTTGCGCACAGCATCGACATTTTCCTGGGTGACTGCCATTTTTGGTGCACCCACCCTGGGATCGTCGCTAAGACTCACCCGTCCACGTTTGAATTCTCCATACCAATGGGAAATTGTCGACTGATGTGGCGCTTCGTTGCCGAAAACAGACAGTAACTCAGCAAGGCATTCTTGATGCGATAATTGTCTCTGAAAGTTGTAATAAATTATGGCGCGAAAATGTTCTCGGTTGAGTTCCATTTTTCTAATGACTTGGTGACACTCAAGTATTCACTGTAGTGAGAACACTGCACGTATTGCTGTGAAACTTTGAATTTAAGTTTACTAAAGAGTGAGGTTAAGATTCAGTACTGACGTTCGATCCGCACGGCCTACTATGTTTCTATATGCAAAACTTAAAAGACATCCCTCGTACTATAAGGGCAGTATGTAAATAATTAAAAGGTTTGAACATTTTTCTCTTAATTTATTAGACTATAATAAAGGTTGGTCTTTACAATATCATGACATTTTGGAAAAATGTAGCATGGAGCAATTTTGCATGGTGCACAAAGGCATCAGTGCACATAAAACATAGGATCTACCTACCATATTGTTTTTTGTGTAAGTCTGTTTACACATAGTATCAATTTATTATATTCTGACCTAATCCAATATCAATTTGTCTAATATGTGCTAGATTGTAGCATATCAGAAGAGAGAGGACCTGCTTCTGGCTAAACATTGTAGCTGAAATAATGGGTATGCTTAATAGTAATTTTGGGAACGATCCAGAATCAATTCCCAATGGTATTATTGAGTTTGGAGCATCTGCTATCTAGGAATACAACATTTTATTCAAAACATAGGATATGGATTGAAATTTAGTACCACTGATGATCAATACCCAATATTTACCAATCTATGTACTGTATTATTGTAGGCTGAATAAAAAATCTAGATAGATAATGTAATCTAATACATTCATAATTATGACTTGTATTAAATAAGCACAATTATTGCATTGTTACAAAAGTGGCAAAATTGTTAATATAAGTTGATATTGGATTAGGCCAGAATATGATTCAAACCGCCCAATAAAAATGCATGTTCAAAGGTAGAGTGGGCCCCAGATCGTTATGCAACAGATGTCCAATTTTGTAAAAGGGTCATCATATTGCATTGCAAAGGCAACTGCTAATATGATGATTTATGAGAAAAAGAAGTATTTTTTTTTCTGAATTGTTACCGCAGCGTCCATGTAGTAGTGGTCTAGTGCTTTCATTGTAAATAGATTATCTAACCTATTTTCATTAAATAGAAAATATAGCATTTTTTAAAATGAGTTTTATAAATATTTCCACAATCTCTGTCTATTTGTGTTATAAGTTACAATTTCATCATGACAACAATGTTACTTTTCACATAAGAGTTTTATCACTGATTCCAAAAATGCAGCCCCATCTTCTATCTAAGAATAGAATAATGCAAAATAAAAGTATCAGCTTATAAGATGTTGATCCTGATATTAATAACCTCATTAGCCAATTGTCTGTTTATAAATATTGTTTGAAAAAGTACTGCAAAGAACAATTGAGTGTTGTAATGTCAAGAAACAAATGTACATAATTATACAAGCTGAAAAGAAGCTAAGTAATTCTAAAATAAAATATTTCTGCATCAAGCACAAACAAATAAATATGTGACTGTATAGAAAACATGTCACTGTTTCCTTGACAATCTTAACAGGCCCTTAAGTATATTCCAACTAAAAGTGGTTTAGGATGTCCAATATATCTACAAAAACACTTTGACACAAGAACCAATTACTTTTGAGGGGGAGGGGGTCTGCACACTTGAGCAGCTTTTCTGAGACAATAATTGAATGTCTCATGGTTTTGGTCTACTAAGGTAATTTTTACACTAAGATACAGCAATTCATACCATTTTCTTGGTAAAAAATGGCGAATTTAGTCATCAAGGAGCTACCTCCCTCTACTGCATCAGTTCGTATTATGGAATACATTGCTGATATGTATTAGTAGGTATTGCATATTAGTATAATTACAGTATTATATAGGTGAGAACCATTTTAAACTCCCAAATGTAACTGAAAAATGTGACATACCCACTTTTGAATTGGATCAAGGCAGGACTATCTACAATCAAACAAATGTTATTACAGGTGGCAACCAGACTCAAAATTTCCATTCTCACAAGTCAAGCTTCCTCTTAAGGTTGAAGGTAATGTAGAATTCACTGAAAACATGGAAGTGGAGGCCTATTCTAGATCTAATAATAGTGAAGCTTATGGCTGGTGGAAATCTAGAATAAAGGTATCTATAGCAACTGTTCTTGGTTATAAGAATATATAAAAAAATCACTAAGAATGTGTTTTTCATTTTGTTACCTTTATAAAACTAACCTAGTGTATTTTTATAGATGATGAAAGGTGATTTCTATGTGCTGGAATACTTAGGTTGGGATAACACGTACACAGAAATAGTTAGTAATGATAGGCTTAGGCCAAAGAATACCAACCCTCCCATTGATAGGAACACTTTTCATAAGTTTGAAATTGAAGTCCCTGAAGATGTGCGGGAATAGTAAGTATATTAAGGTTTCAGATTTGTGTTATCAACTGAACTCAAAATTAAAAAATAGTCAGTGTTTTGAATATTATACTGAAAAAGCGTGTTACTGTATTCATTTATCTGTTGTCACAGCTGTCAGTTTTTTCAGTTTCAACGGATGATACCGGTTATCTTAATTATCAAAATATCCAGTTTTCGAGTGGCATTATCACTTCATGACAACACATGATCTGCTGCCCCGTTATCTGCAGTAATGGCTATCAATTACATAAACTTTCACAAAATAGGAATGTGTGATGCTTTGTTTGCTAATAAAGGCATCCCAATACTGTTCTGTCTGCCTATAATTTAATAATACACATTGAAACTATTTTTCCTGTAGTGCAAAAGTGGAAAACGCGCACAAGGAGTTCCAGAAAGCAATTAGTGCCGGTTACTTGGCGTACGACCCTGAACAGTGTGTCCTGCGCGTGATCTCCAAACACGAGCATAGCCGAAGAACCGCCTCCCTGCTTCAGGACATGCACTTTCGCAACCTGTCCCAAAAGGTACTGCTGCTCAAGAGGACTGAAGAGGCTGCCAGACAGTTGGAGAGCACCAAGTTGGCCACCATTGGAGGGTGAGTACAAGATTTGGAAGCCATTTTATAATTGCATTTTTTCTTACATTTTTTACCAGGACTACACTATAGAAACAAGTGGCATTGTGATGTGATGTCTTTTATGAAGGGTTTACTTGTAGATCGCATTTCGAACATAACACATTACAAACCTTAAAAGTTTCTTCCTAAAGCTTTGTATTATTTTCATTTGGTCGGATTTTGTTAGCTACCACTCATTGCTTGAGTACAGCTAGCAAATTTCTTGAGATGAATCAACTTTTGTCTGAGAAATTATTTTTGACTAACAAATAATCAGTGATGAAACGTTTTTGAGATATTCTGTTAAGGCGCATCTAAATGAGCAATACCTTTACTGCATTATGTGGCTGCAATATAATAGCCAGCAACATTGTCAGCATAGCAGCTAGAATATGCAATAAAGTAGTATTTTTAGTATGGTCCAGCTACATAGCTACACACGTTTGACTCATCCTGTGCAAAATTGCAGGAATCGACGTTTCTCTCGAGACGGTGTAAGATGTCACGATGTGTACAATTTCGTCATCGTGCTCGATTCTGTAGTACCCCTTGATAAATTCTGTGACAAGTGTGTCTACATATTGCGGACAATATTACCGATATATATATATATATATATATATATATATATATACAGTTATACAGTGTAATTCATTTACGTTTTAGGGCGCCGCTTTCAATGTGTACTGGAGAGAAATAGAGAGAAACGTGCAACACCATGCAACACGTATGTTAGAAAGGGGGTGTGCCATAAGCGTGCGACATTGGGGTAGGACGCAAAGCGCGGCTGCAATTTGCCCCATTGCCAAACGTTTTATCATTTTCTCCAATTATGATGAATGGTGGAAATAAGATTGTTTGTTTTCAACTCCCACATAATGGTTTTATGTTGAGCGTACACATTTCTGAACCGTAAATTGTGTCGAATCGGTTTAGAATCGATGTCGGATCAGTCTTAACGATTTTCCGATTTTAGGATTCAGGATTGCCGCAAATTCTGCAATATTGCGTCATTGGTTTGACAGCACTGCATCTCGGTACATTCCAACGTAAGGTTATCTAATATAATCTATAGATTCACGTAGTCAAGTGCTATCAGCTCTAAAAAGTAATCGGATGAACACCGCACTCGTATTACATAATTTGAGAAGTGACATTTTTATGATATATGTAGTATTTCCGAAAAAGGTCAATTGTCAATGTGTGGCGATTCTGAAGTTTTAGTTCCACTTAAAAACGCAGAACCGTTAAGACGGATCCGCAGGGGTATTACGTATCTTGAAAAATGACACTGTCGGTTTTTTTGACATATATGTGCACTTGTTCTGTAGCTGTACATGTTGCTTAAACGTCATGATGCTTCAGCTATTATTTGGCTCTGATGAGATGTAACATCTTCTTTAGTATAGATGGCATTATTGGAGGTCTAAGCTGTAAGTTGTATACTATAGCTGGAGGGAAACGGCAGTGCATATGAGCATTGTGGGGATTTGTGTACTAATAATCTGTGTTGAAGATAAAATTTCAATGGTTTCTTATCTCAAATACACTTGATCTGTATGCAAAGCTAGAAATTAGTTGCGCAATCCACTTTTTCGTATTCATCCTGCAAATTACATATGCAAAATTACTGTTTTTAAAAAATTAGAGAGTTAAGAAATGAAAATTCCGCATTGGTGAAGAATATTACATCTAACAGGTGAGAAAATAAGCTACAAACAGGAATATTTATGAAACGTGAAAAGGTTATTACATTTTTATTTGCAGTCATTTAAATCATAATTCATGACCAAAACCTCTCTTCAGAAAGGACACATAAATAACCCATCTGGTACAGCTAATAGATATACTTCATGGGAAGCATATTCAGTAATAATTTTCTCACATAGCATCACTGATTTTATACACGTGCAGATACACACAATCATTCAGATGCAATCTTGTTACTTAACCGATTTTCTTTGTCACATCTTCTCAGAGATATACTCTACAGACTATCTGTGTATTCTAACCAACAAAGCATGCTGGGGAACTGGCTTGCAGCATGGTTATTGAGGGTGTCGATGAGTCATTTCTCCATAGATCACGGTTTTGGTGACGCCCATAGTGAGCAAACACGGACTCAATTATTTGCGTACTAGGAACTATCTAGTTTTTTTGGCGTTATGCAGGCTTGTAAGTAAAAACCCTGCAGGACTCGATTCTAAACCGATTTGACACAGTTCGCGATTCAGAAGTGAGTACGCTCAAAATAAAACCATTATTTGGACATAGAAAACAAACTAAAGCTTATTTCCATCATGCATCATGTTTCAAGAAAATGATGACACGTTTATGAACGCGGAAAATTACAGCCGTTCTCTGCGCCCTACCACATCGTCGCACGCTTATAGGGTGCACTGACAACATACGTAATGCATGCTGTTGCACGCTTCTCTCTCTTTCGTGTACATTGAAAGCGCCGCCCAAAACGTGATGAATTTCACCGTATATAGTCACCCCACATCGCCGTTGCTTTGACGAAGACCGCTTTGTGTTTAGAAGCAGTCTTTACAGAATGACTTAACAACTGTTTTAAATTAAAAAAAAAAAGGGTTTTGCTTCCATTCACAGCAATTTTTACTAAATCTCTAAAGACTTTCTTATTATAAACTCTTGACCATCAGACCACGGAGCTCATATTTGACTATACAGATATTCAGAAAGCTCCAATGTGGAAAAATGTTAGAGATGAGGTTTCATCATAACAACGACGATATGTTGCAAATTGGTCACAGTAGCTGGTCTGTAGTTGCTATCATTGTAGCCAAATATGACGACATAAATTTTGCTACTTTAGAGGCTGCTTAAGGTTCATTCGATACATTATGAAATTCAATTTTTTTGTTGCATCAGTCAACCTGGCAGTCATAACCTAAAAATCCTCACATCTGACAAATCGGTATGCTGGGTTGCCAAATGAAGGAAAGTGGGTGTCCTCGGTTAGATAGAACATAACCTCAGCTACTTTTGCTATACCCTATTTCACGAGTATCCATCAGGTAGAATGACAGCTGGTTATCTAGTAATCTCAAAATTCCTCATATCGGCACAGGACCTATAATTTTTACGGATCCGTCAACGTCAGGTAGACAGAGCCAAATTTTGTTTTGGTTTTTTGTACTATACAGATTCATTTTGTACTTGCTAACAGGTTTTTTATTTAGAAAAGTTCATTTGCATACAAAAAACAAAACGCTGAAAACGGGTTTTACTAGATTTACACCCGATTTATTATTGCCAACGTTGCAGACTAACACAAAAATGTCACTTGCTGATGAGCTGTTCACCTCAGTAGACGTCAAAGCGTGATGGATACCCGTGAAATAGGGTATAGGTTGCCAGTTTGTCATAAAAAAAGTTAACTTAAATTTGATAACACATATCGTCTCATATGTCTAGGTCTGTTTTTATACATTTTACAGAATTTTGACAACTTGAAAATAAACCACACTCATGAATATCGTAGACAGTTGGCAGACTAAGACAACCCATGGAAACGAATTGACATAATTCACATTGCAATTTTGCTCATACGCGATAAGTTGGACTCATTATTATAAATATAGATTTTAAATAAAAAATGGTCTCTGAATAGCTCAATACATATTCCAAGTATGCCACAGTGATGTTTAAAAAAGATTTTTCTTGTATTTCAGCAGCAAATACCGCCGCAGGTCAGATTTTTTTAAAGGGCGGGTCGGCAGGTGAGAATATACCCGCATGTTTACTGCCAATGTATAGTGATCAAAAAATTGATGATTTGTAATTTTTTTTAATTTATAATCAAAAAATGTTAAATATGACCGAGCCTCGATCTTAATCCCTTCGCTACTGAAAACATCATCAAGCAGACTGCCATGTGTTGACTTCAGATGATCTTCCGCGAAGTCATGCTCTTCATTCGCAGTTCTAAGAGAATTGGACACGAGACCCAGTCTCATTAAAAATATTAGGTTTCTACTGGGCGGCTTATTTTCTTATTTCAGTCATAATCTTTTATTTTTGATCACTGATTCATTATAATTTATTGGCTGGCATACTGTTTTGTGTATTTAGGGCTGTTTAGTGACCATTTTAAAAAGTATGTTGCAGATTGGTTTATTTTCTTGCATGTATATTATGTGTATCATCTAGTTGCATGCCATCTACATATCACATATGTAAATTTTTTCGAAAGGAAAAACAAAAACAAAGTCTATCGGGTTATTTGTATTATCGAATAAAATAATCATTATTGACATTTGGTATTAAAAAGATTATTTCTTTCAAATGTCAACTGCTGCGGTTAATGTAGTTTGTTCTGGAATTACCTGTAGATTTGCTTCAGCTTGCATATCAGTTCATTAAACCATAGCTCTTCTTCGGTAACAATTTGGCGTGCAGTTGATTTCTCGTTTTCGGGCCGATAAATTGGTCGCCTTGATCGTGTTATGCCACACTGATGACTTTGGACTTACAACTTTTCCATTTGGTGCTATGTCTACATGGATATAAGAGTTCGATTGAGGAATTAGAACTAGAGTTAAATGCCAAATACCACTGGAAATGCACGGACGCGTCATATAAAATTCCTATTCCAAAATGGAGCATGTATGACCACTCTGACAGTCAAATGAAAGAACTGATTCCCAAAAAACAAATATCATTGATGCTTCTTTCGTTTAACAACAAAGGTAACCTGACACTTTTTTTTTCATTTTCACATCTGTTTGACAAAATACCTGTAAATTCATTATTTGCATTGTAGAAATGATGACATAAAACCTCTTTAAACTCTTATCTTTACTTTTAATAAGTATTTAAGCGTATTTTGGGATTTGGTCAAAACTACCGTTCTCTTCGCGATCCTGATGGGTCACAGCTCAGTTTGACCGTACGTCGGATTTTGGCTGCTATCCATACACATTGCTACTGGAAAAGGCAATACTGTCACTGGAGAGGACAGATGAAATTTCACTCTGGAATATTTTGAAACTTTATTTTTAGAACGCCTAAATGATTAAAGTCATGTAAAGACACTTGATGACAGCTCACTAATTTCTATCCACGTTTTCTGCGACCGTTGTATTATGAGTAACGCTACGGAGATGAGGTAGCCGATTTATCGAGAAACATACATATCTTACCAATTTTCAGCACTTTTTGATAACCAAACAACGAAACATAAGAATTACAAGTGACAACATTCTTATGCTCAAGGTTTTGAGCATAAAAGAAAAGCGTACTTTTGACGTTCCAGAAGAATTACTTTGTTCTATTTCCGAAAGCATGGAACAGATACGAAAAACAATTACGAACACTAAAATTGTTACAGAATAGCACAAAGTACACTCTGTAAAAATTTACGAACTCAGCTCAGCATATTTTGAGAACTGATAATCTTTCTTGACACCCAAAGGAGATATCCATATTTTGTAATTTCAGTACTATTCTAAAAGAATTAAATCAAGTGCTTTAAGTGTAAAGTTGACCTTAAAATACATGTTTTGAGTAAAATCATAAAGCCATCGGACGTTCTGGCGTTTTTTAATTTTGGTTACCAATGAAAAAATAAGCCTTCTATTTCAGGCTGCTGACTGAAATACCTTGCACACGCAGTATTGGGGTACCATGGTCAACAAAAAATAGTTTAAATGCACACATACAAGAAAGGCAAATTATTAATGAAGCTTTCTTGTAAAATGAGTTGAAGGTCAAGCCAGGTATAGTAAGAAATGACCGGATGTTGCTAATTTTCATGCAAAGTCTTGGACATAGGTGCACTGCTCTTGCAACTGTTCACGACATTTGTTCGACACATTTTCGATTCATGGTCGCCGCTGGAGCATCATCGTTTCTAGATGTGAATGATGGCCTCAGCGTAAAATACCATAACATCCCAGTGTCTTAGATAAAAATTTTATAAAGATATATCGTGTTGGCGAGTTTTAAATACTGACGAATCTCAAGTGACTGAAATGTCTGTTCTTCTGAATTGCAGTTACTCGGACGAGTTCATGGTACGCGAGGACCTGATGGGGTTGGCGATCGGCGCACATGGGGCGAACATCCAGCAAGCTAGGAAAGTCCACGGCGTAACGAACATCGAGTTGGAAGAGAACACGTGCACGTTCAGGATACACGGGGAGTCAGACGAAGCCGTCAAGGCTGCCAGGCGGATGCTCGAGTATGGAGAGGAGTCGTTGCAGGTGCTGCTTGTTTTTTTTTTCTACGCTTACTGGCCATTTAGCATTGTAATCACGAAAAAAATCGAAAATGAGATTGATTTTTGAATGTTACATGTTCATCACGAAAAACCATGTCACTCATTTCCGTCACTCTGTACAGAGATCACGTTATCCGACTCGACTAAATAGAATAATTGATTGATTTGTCCACAATATTCGATAGAAAAATACGATTGGTTTTTGAATATATTTGATGGGCATGCGCCTGACATTTTTCCAGTAAAAAAAAAAACAGGTTAGATTCGAAATTAGTTTCAGTTTAATTATTGATTAATTAAATATTTATAAAAGTACTGGCTAAAAATGACTATACCAACACCCATGCCATGGAAATATTTATAGACCATGGAGAAAAGTCAAGTAATGGCGTGTGGCAGTTTGTGGGAACATCTTTTCTGAGAATACATACATCTATTATGAGATGAACATACACCTTTGATACAAGCCTGTGGCATAGAATCGGAGAGCACATAACACCATATCTTAATTCATCTCATTAATTCCTCCGCCTGAATTTTACTAAGATGAAATAGTTCTCGAAACAAGTTGAAAATATTTTCATGAGTCCTGTTAGGCATTGTCGCTTTCGAAGAAGAAGCCTTATATTTAATAAGTTATATAAGTATATTTAATTGCAAAAATAAACAACTTATTCAATTCAAAAAAATGATAAATAATGACATAACCCATCAAGCAGCGGAAACACTTTATTCTATAGCTTGGAACCTGTCGAATAAAATTGATAGAGTCGTATCTTACTCGATTGTCGACCAACTCGACCCATTTCAATCTATATTGAGACTCGTGGTCGTAGTGCTGTTCGCCAGTCCTTGGCCCGTCTATAAATAGGGAAGTTTATATACAAGGTTACATCTGTCCTAAGGATGAAAAAGCTTCTCAGTTTTGGAAAATCGGCCCAGCTAGGGTCTAAATGAAATAAATAAAATTCTCTAAAACCTGGCTGACATTCCTGGTCGCTTCCAGGAAAAAATTTGTAGGGCTTGCATAGGAAGTGCAGTCAATTTATGTGAGGACAATTTTTTTTTTTATATATTATGAAACTTTTTCTGATAAAAACTACGAGGTGTGACAATTAAGTAATGAGACTGATTCCATAAAAACTGTATAGTTAAAAATTACTCTACAACTCTGCCATTCCCTTCTCAGTAGTCCCATTGGACGTCTTCCACGCTTTGTAACATTTCTGGAACGCTTCGACTGAGATGTCCGCGGATACCCTCGTCACGGCCGCTTGGATGTCCCTAATCGACTCAAAATGGGTTCTTTTGACCACCTATTTTGCTCTAGGGAACAGAAAAAAGTCACAGGGTGACATATCGGGTGAATAAGGCGGCTGTTGCAACAGGGTGATCCCTTTAGAGGCCAAATACTGGGACATGCTGAGGGCGGTGTGGCACGGCGCGTTATCTTTATGAAAGTTGTTTGCGATGTCTGGACGCACCCTGTTGACTCATTTTCGCAATCTTTCGAGTACTTGGCGATAGCAGACTGCATTTACGGTTTAGCCCGATAGAAAAAATTCTTTTTGGACGATTCCACGGTTATCAAAATTATTATCGTTTTCACCTTCGACTTGCTCATGCGACCTTTTTTCGGGCGGGGCTCGTTCGGAGACAACCATTGTAAGCTTTGGCGTTTTATTTCTGGGTGGTATTGGAAAAACCCGCTCTCATCGCCTGTAATAACTCGATCAAGCAGCGTGGGATCGTTTTCCACTTGCTCCAAACAGTCTGCTGCGACCGTCATTCGATGCTGCTTTTGCTCCTCAGAAAGGTTTTTGTGACGAGCCCTACCCACACACGTCTCCTCAACACCACACAGCAGACGAACTAAACAAGCTAGAGCGATGGTAAATATATCAATGGAGAGGAGACGGATGCCGGAGAAGGTGGAGGGAATTTCAAGGTTTACCACAAGCCCGGCAATTAAATCAGTCGCATTACTTGTCACACCTCGTATATGTTTACATTTCGTTGTTTGTCGCCAAAATTGCGTAGTTTTAGGGCATACTTTTGACTCATTTGTCCACCAGTGCCTATCAAAGGGCCAGTATTATTTTGACATGATAATAAAGTAGGAAACGTCTACCTTCATTAGGCTTGTGATGCTCTTGCAAATTATTTAAGAAGTACCATGTCTAACACCACAATTATCTGCAAACACTCGCATTTTTTAAAAATAACACTAAAAATAGGTATTTAATGACAGAACTGTCAGCAAAATGATTTATGTCAAGTGCACTTTGATCTCCACTACATACTATGAGAATCAAGAGACAAAAAAATCGTTGACTGGCGCCTTGTACCTGGTCTTAGGTATTTTCCAACTAAGAATGTTTGATCATTTATTTTTCGGAGATGATTAACATTTCTACATCTTTAAGTCGTTCTATTTTTTGCAGGTTCCACGGTTGTTAGTGGGTAAGGTGATAGGCAAAAACGGTCGGATAATACAGGAAATAGTTGATAAGAGCGGAGTGGTAAGTATTCTTTCAAGTTTGTATTTATGTGCTTAATATAATGTTTGGTTTTGATCTTATCTATGAAACGTCTCCCATTTCTATTGAAGGTTCGGGTGAAAATTGAAGGTGATAATGAACCCCAGCCAACGATTCCTCGCGAAGAAGGTCAAGTTCCTTTTGTGTTCGTCGGTACCGTCGAGAGCATACAGAATGCTAAAGTACTGCTGCAGTACCATCTAGCTCATCTTAAGGTATGTTATTATTAGTAACAGAATGTATAGTAGAAAAAAATCCTCTCATAATAAGAAAGATGCCTCTTCAGCGAATCTTTTGATGCCTCCAGTCAATCTTACATCACCATTTTCCCCAGGAAGTAGAACAGTTACGACAGGAGAAATTAGAAATCGACCAACAACTGCGCAGCATCCACGGCTCGTCGATGGGTTCGATGCAGTCGCTGTCTCAAGGAGGCGGTCGGCGAGGGGGCCCCGGAGGCGGTCCAGGCGGTGGCCCTCACCACCATTCCAACGACCACCATCATCGAGGCGGATACGCGGGGGGCGATTCCGATGGAGGCGGTCCTGGGGGCGGCCCCAGGCAGCGAGATGGAGGCGGTAGAGGAGGCGGCATGGGTAGGGGGGGCAGAGGAGGTCGCGGCGAAAGAGGAGGCAGAGGCGGTGGAGGCAGGGATGGCGGAAGGGACGGCAGCAGGTATAATTCAGGTGAGTTATGTAAAAAAATATACTGATTCAACTTAATCGACTGCAGAATTGATCCTAGCTTGACGACCGGTTTAGATCGCACAATTTCATGTACAAGGCTTGTCTGATTTCAGTACTCTTCAAGAAGGGGATTTTCGATAAATTAATACACGCCTTATTAATTCAAATAATCACCAACCATACAAAAATCCATATTATTATTATTATCCCAAACACATCTCTTTAAATATAAACATTTTTTCTAGATCCAAATTTGCAGCAGTGCCTCGCCAAAATGGCTACTGTGCCGACATTTTTGAATCTTTTTTAAAATAATTTCTTTAGTTACTTAACTGTATGATCAATAACTTCCACCATTACTGTTATTTTATTAACTTTTCTTCCACAGATAAAAAGCATTACAAAAAAACTCTTAAGCAGTTACAGTGGTTTCACCCCTTGTTGAACTTTGGTATCAGAATAAAGCACATGTCTGAAAAAAAAAAACGAAAGTTCTTCGTAGCTCTATGAGTGCCTCCGTGGTGGCACACAAATCTCTAATATAAAATCCAGTCACCTACCTCACTTTCAGTTTTGTGGTAGATGTTGAATTAGTAATTTTCTATCTTACTGCAAAACCTAGTTGTAAGGCCTGGTTTTCCTATTTCTGGTAACTCACGAGTTAGGTAACTATTAACTGAAAGTTAATTGTCAATTGCACCATAACGATGCTGCGTTTAGGTCTGAACTATAAAGTGAAGAGAGGTTAGACATTGCGGTGGAACTACAAGCTCTGGTGTTTTAGGCCGATTTAGGCCGAACTTTTCATTGAAACGTGCCAGATAGTACTAGATAATTCTGATTAACAGTAAAGGTCAAGGTCCGGCTTTTCAATCGCAGGTTAACTGATAAACGGAAGTAAACAGTGATTTTCAATGTCAGCTTTTCCTTAGACTGGTAGATCACTTTAAGCGGAGGCCCATTTATGAGTCAACTAGAAATTTAAACGGCAATGCTCAACCTATTTTGCTCGTCAGTGACATGAGTTATTGCGGATGACACTAGACACAAACTCCAAATCTCACGAGACGCATAGAATACGATAATTCATACATAAAATTAACGTTACCGCATCAACAGTTGACACTTTAAGTAGGCCTTTATTTGTTTTATCACAAAAAAATAATACTACTTTTTAAAAAAATATATTTTTCTTAGACAGGCGAAAACGCTAACCGCCATGTTTGGCCCATATATTAATGTGCTCTGATGTTATACCGTTTCTACTAGTGTACATCAAAAATATAGTTATTGTTGTTTTTGTATCGTCTGAGAATGTAAAACACATTGATACAGACTCCAGGAAAGCTGGATGTATTGCTTGACGCATACCTTATGTTCGGGACATATTTTACATGTTAGTGTGCAGATTTTATCGAGTCGTTTAAGTTGGACGTTACGTAGGATATCATCGACGTACGATTCCCTTGCAGATGTTCAAGAGGGAATGAGGAAATACAATATTAGATAAAATTATTCAGAGGGTATGACGCATGAGCTTAGTTTTGATTGACTTTTGAAATCAAAGATTATGCCGGTATATTACTTATTCTTTTTATGTCTATTATTATATCAGATGAACTTTACTTACATACAGGGTGGGCCATTTGAAGTGGAAGCATTTGTTTATAAAAAAATACTTTTAAAAAATATTTTTTGTTGTTCATTTGAAAAGTCCTTTATTTTGATCCAATGAGATTTGTTGTAATTACTTTCCAAAAATAATATCGCGCAAATGGCCACCTATGGCCTTGATAACAAAATGTGCCCTTTTTCGGCGTTTCCCATCACGTTGGCCAATGTTTCGGCGGATATGGCGGCAATTTCTTGACGAATATTGTTGTTGAGGGCAGCTAGATTCCTTGGTTTGTTAGCGTATACCTTGGATTTCAAATAGCCCCACAAATAAAAGTCTGGTGGCGTCAAATCATGTGATCTCGGTGGCCAGTCAAAATCGCCCTTATTCGATATCAGTCGTCCAGGGAACAATGGTCGCAATAAATTGATTGTTGCTTGAGCTGTGTGGCATGTGGCGCCGACCTGCTGGAACCAGTAATCGTCCATGTCATTTTCACAAACAATTAGCCTAAAAAAATTCGTTATCATGGCTCGATAACGCTCACCATTGACGGTTACCGCAGCTCCATCATCGTCTTCACAAATATCCGGCCCGATGACCATATTCGCGCACATACCGCACCAAACAGTAACTTTTTGGTCATAAAGATGCTGCTGTTCGATTAATTGAGGGTTTTCGGTAGCATAGCATGAGCCATTTGAATTTTGTATTGAAACATCTTCAAATCGTTACGATGACGACCGGATGTTGATGGAGTCTCTTCAACACTGGCTCGTACGACTTCGATATTTTCATCGGAACGTGTTCGTTGTCTGGACAGGTGACTGGCATTACTAAGACTACCGGTGTTCATAAATTTTGTGTATAAATGTCTGATAGTGTTATCAGCTTGTGCACTTTCAACTTTATTTTTTTTACGCAACACACGTTTAGTTTTCACGATTGCGAAGTTATTTTGAATGTACAACTGAATAACTTCAGCGCGTTGTTTTGGTGTGTACTGTTCCCTGGTTTTAGTTGATCTGACAACTAATGTCAAAGATATAGGGTTGCTTGATGCTTCCACTTTAAATGGCCCACCTTGTAGAATTCTTGATGTCACTCACTGCAGCAGAGCAAAAATCTGGGTTGAGGACAAAAAAAAAATACGAACAATCAATGTGTCAATTTTTGGCAAATATTGTGCTTTCTGACTTTACGAATCCATCATCCATGATTGTTTTTTTTATAAAACTAGAAAACTTTAACTTTTTACGTTGACTGGGAGTTTTTTAGAAATATCTAAAGAAGACAACGTTAATCCACGAGTGACATACTTATGTCGTTTATTCGTTTATAATTTGTATGACGCCACATTAGCTGTTTTCACACCGTTTCAAATTAAAAACAATTTTGTCGTGGAGAATGTAAAAACACACCGATAAAGATTTTAGGAAAGCTGTATATTAGAATGCGCTTTTAAAATTTGAAATCTGTATATATATTTTTTTCTCTAAGCCAAATACTGTAAGAAATACTCATCTATTCTATGAGATTAGATGAGTCAAGTAGCCTATTATGAGTTAGTTAACCATGACTTTTCAGACATCTGATAGTTAACCTCCAAGTTATAGTTACCCAACGTGAAAGTTAACCTGCGACGGAAAAACTGGGATTTGGTTGTAAGGATTCCACGGATCAAGCTGTTTATTACTATTTAGGTACGAATCATGCGGATTACAATCACCACGGTCCTCCGAGTTCGCGTGGCAGTAGCAGTAAACCGTCGGCGTCCCGAAGCAGCCAATATCAGCAAAACGGGGGTGGTCCCCGGCACAGAGGTGGCGATAGAGACAGGCAGCGAGATCAACAAGCTCCGTCACATTCTGTCGTATCGACGCAACCGCCACCGCAAACGCATGTGCACATGAACTCCGCTTCTTCCGCCCCACCGCCCATGCAGACCGCCTCTGCCGGCGGGGGCGGTCGCAAATAAGCGTGGGGGCGGCCCGGAGAAGGAAGTGAAAGAAAGTGGGCGGCCGTTACTGCTACTACCACACCGTTGTTGCTGCTGCTGATGAAAATACCGCTGCTGTGCTAGTTGGTGTGAACTGAGGCTGGTTGACTGAGCTGGGGGCGGATAACGATGAAGCGCTTATATCATGTGGTTGTCTTACTAAATCATATGCATGATATTAAAATTATGGTCTTTGCACAGATAGATTTCCATGTACATGGCCTCATAGCTGGACTGGAAACCCTGTATATCGAAACTGAAGGTGGAAACATAGTGAAGTAGCCCACCTCGCCGGGATACTCATCAAGTCGTTACTAGGGTCGTCTCTCGAAGCATTTTACTGACACTCTGGATGATATTTTTAAAACAATGTCAAACCTTTATATATACTATGCTGTACCATCTTAATGCTCATGTGCTCATGAATGGCGAGGTGAACTACGTCACTATGTTTCCCTAACCAGAGAATTTTAGGTTGTTTGACACTTCTACGCGGCGATATCTACCACATTTGGCATAAACAATGGTCAGTTGGAGTGTTAGTATCGCATACTATACCGAAGAATGAGACTGGCAAATTGGTACAAATGAGTGAGGTTGTAAAATGCCAAACGGGGGTCAAATCTACACAAATTTAGCGAATCCTTTATCATCAAAATCTAAATCTAATGGATCCTTGCATAATTTAACACGCTCTTTTCGAGATTGTGACACATGCAGTTTATACAGGGTGGCCGATATGTAGCTGACTGGTTTGTATCTTGAATATTTGTAAAATGAAATAAAATACGTCCATTTTTTTCATCATAATCTTTTGTTGAAACTTTGAAATTATCTATGAAAAATAATATCAGGCAAATGTCCGGCTCTAGAAGCCGCGCAAACAATTGCTTCCGTATAAATAAGCGCTTAGACCTTCTTATTTGGCGTTTTATATAACCTAACTTTTTTCCAGTCTCCTCATTTTAAAATTTATTGACATAAAGGCATCCACCATGAGGATTCTGTGAAGCCCTTTATTAGTTAGTAAATTTTTTGCACGAAATTTTCTGTTTCTTTGTGTAAGCATTGTGCCAAATGTACTCTGATGACCCCAAGACAATCACATTTTTCTACTTACCAATAAGTAGTGCGAACATTGTATACAATGTTGCCTAAATAGTTGCACTCAGTGGAAAACCGCCTATCTGAAAGTCTAAAGCCCCGTTCACACCTCGCGATATCTGGCACAGAACGAAGAGTATTAATTTATTTCCCGTTTTTTATTGTGACGTTTACTCTGCATGAGTGTTGGAACATAGAGAAAGATAAAATGCGAAACGTCGTGCAAAATTGGGTATGAATGCGTTCAACAGAGACTGAAATCCAAGTGTGTATGAGCGAATA